ATTCTCAAAACTACTCAAGGACTAGCATTATCTCAATCTCATTATATTGAAAAAAGTATTGGACAAATTCAAGTACTTGAATTTCAACTATGTCAAAACTCCAATTGATATAATCTTTACATTTCAAAAGAATGAAGGTGAAAGTGACTCTCAGTTGGAATATGTCAGAGTGTTGGGAAGTTTGATGTATATTATGAATTGTACGCGACCAGATATATCATGTGCTATTAGTAAACTGAGTCGGTTCACAAGTAATCCTAATCATACTCACTGGATGACAATGAAACGTGTTTTGGGGTATTTGAAATATACACAACACTATGCCTTGCATTATAATAAATATTCTGCTATGATTGAAGGATATAGTGATGCAAATTGGAACACCGGGTCAAATGAAGTAAAATCCACAAGTGGTTATTTGTTTACACTTGGTGGATGAGCAGTCTCTTGGATATCGTCCAAACATACATGTATTGCTCGCTCTACAATGGAATCTGAATTCATTGCCTTAGATAAGGTCGGTGAAGAAGCTGAATGGCTCTGAAATTTCTTAGAGGACATTCCGTTCTGGCCCGAACCTGGAGGACCTATATGCATACATTGTGATAGTCAAGCAACAATAGGTAGGGCAGGTAGTGTCATGTACAATGGGAAGTCTAGTCATATACGACGGAGACATAATACTGTAAGACAACTACTCTCTAGTGGAATTATCATAATTGACTATGTTAAGTCAAGAGATAATGTGTCAGATCCACTAACGAGAGGCCTAGTGAGAGAGGCAGTTGAAAGATCATCTAAGGGAATGGGTTTACGGATTAGGACAAGTCATCATGGCGGTAACTCTACCTAGCAGACTGAAGATCCCAGAGCTAAGTTCAAGGAGGAAAACAAAGCTATGACTGACGATTTGACATTGTCAATCAACTCAATCCAATCTCAGACAATGTTCAAGAACAAGGTTAAAACATTCAGGCTTGTTAATGAGTTAATAAAACTTAAAGTTTTTAATGATTTGCTAAGTTTGACAAATTTGACCAAATAGTGTATCTACGCGATGACACAGTTAGAAACACCTATGTGAGTGTGAAGTGTAAGCCACTTCAAATAGAATTATTGTTAAAAGCCTATTCTCTATACACTCATGAAACCAGGAGGTGTTTATGGATGAAACGAGCACAACCGTAAGAACCATAAATGGTAAAGGGTTAATTGTGTGACATATGATTGTCTAGGTTTACACCAAAGTTCGATGGTTCAAAGATATCGCATCTACCGATTGACCGAGTATATTTGACATATGTTCACTACAAAAAGTTCAATGGGAAACCTACTTATCCAGATGCAATTGATCCTTGCTTGTAAAGTGCACACTCATCCGTGCATTCATTTATGTTATAACCATTCCCCATTCATGTGGGGGATTGTTGGGTATATAGCAAGAGTTAATGGGAAATGGAGGGAAGATGAAAATAGAGGAACTTGAAAAGTTCTCTTATGCTTTAGTAAAAAGGCATTTCTCCCTCATTGGTGGTGGAAAGAAAAATTGAAGTGTTTAAATAGAGAAACACTTCTATTAGTTATTAAAAGGATTGGAAAGAGGGACCCCCCTCTCGCCGTCGTCGTCGCTTGCTCGACTTCAACTTCAGCTTTGGCTTTGGAAAAAATGATATATCGAGAGATTATTCGCCAAAAAGTTTTGATTATTTGAATAATTATCCAAAACGTCCCAACTCGACTCGAATCTGCGTGACCCGTTTTATTTAAAACACTTTCCCATTTTATTTGAATTTCCCACCGTTGGAGATGACTGTTCTTGCAACTTTCAAGAACAACCATGACCGTTTGAAAGGTTGCAAACTTTCATTAATTGTAACATCTCGCAATTTGAAATAACTAGAAAACAAGTGTAAAATCTGGAAATAGTCATTTTTAGAAAGTGTAAGGAAATCTGGAAAATTTTAAGCAAGTTAAGTGAGTTTTTCATCAACTTAAAATGACCATAACTCCTAGCTCAGGATTATTTAGGTATAGTTCCAGATATGTTTGGAAAGCTATTGGGATGATCTTTCCAACGCCGCTGAGTTTGCGCGATTTCGATATCGTATGAGTAAGTTATGCCTTTTGGAAGTTGAGCTGTTGGATTAGGAAATGTCCAATCCGGATTTTATGAAGGGTAGTTTGGTCTTTTCCTTGACCAATTTATCTAAAACCTTTTTAGTAAATTAAGTGGGGGTCAAACCTGAGTTATTTCAGTTTACGCTTTTGATAAATAGAGTTAGGGCTTTCGGAGAAAGAACGCAAGAGAAAGGAGAAGAGGAAAAGCAAGATTCGCCAAGAACGAGCGATTTTGGTTGTGGATTCGCCAAGGAATTGATCCTACGCGGTATGTGAGTCTCTCATAGCATTGGGTTCATTCACTCACGCGCCAAGCATGTTTAATTTAGTGAGATTCGTCCTAGAAGAGTTGGAAAATTGATGTTCTTGACAAATATTCTTGAATTCGAATGTTTTTAGCGAATTAAAACGAATTGAGAAGTTTATGAGATCCTTACTTTGAGTTTAGGGTTGCTTTGAGTTAGTTTCTTGAGTATACATGTTGGGCATCATGATTTAAAATGAATTTGAGGAAGATAATCGAATTTAGGTGGTTTGAGGCTGAAAAACGAAGAAGGAAAAAGTCGAGTAAGGTTCATGAAACAAGTTCGCGTCGCGGACTTGTTCCCCCAGTGAACAAAAATCTGCTCCGCGTCGCGGAGAGGACGTGGACTCCACCGTCTCAAAATTTAATTTTGCAAATAATTATTTAGGAACACCTCCACATCGCGGACTTGTTCCAAGACGGTGATTTCGTAACTTTTCTCAAGTTTAGCTATTCGAAATCATTCCTAGATATCAAGAGACCTTTCCTATCACAAATCACAATCCTTGAATCCATAATTCAATTTGAGGAAAGTTAAGAGTCAATTCAAGTGAAGTTAAGAGTAAAGTCAAGTGAAGTCGTCAAAGTTTTCAAGGGTCTTTTACAAACGCTCTAACTTTGTTTTAAGACTTAAGTTTCAAGTTAAGAAATGAGTAAAGAGTTGAGTTAATTTCTCAAAAATCTATTAGGGAACTAAGTATTCCCAAAGTGTTTATAAATGTTTTCACATTTGAACAAGAAAAGGGAACATTGATTCCAAGAAGAGCTTTTAAGCTAAGTTTTGAGTAATTATCTCAAACCAAAGAAAGAAGTTGTTTTAAACCATATGAGCTAAGTATATTTTGAGAGTAGTATTGAGCACCGATATGGGGATGTGAGTTCATATTAACTCAAGTCTCCATAAACCATGTAGCCATCATGGGTTTTAATAGGACATACTTTTTAGATGATCACATAAGTTAAGCTAGTAGATCCACTAAGTTAAGCGTTCTATATGACGGCAAAGTATAGGACAGTTCTGGCAGTGTGGGCAAGACGTTGTATCACTACTTAGGCTCATAGTGGTAGTTGTAGGTCAGAGAATGTCCCACAGAAACTATATTATTTTATTATATGAGTAAAGTTGAGTTTGTTACTGCATTTCCTTTAATGAACTAAGTTGATTTTACTGTTTTATAAAGCTTTTTCATATATTGCATATGTTCATTGCTTTATTTTGAGTTAAAGTTATTCATCAGTTGAGAAGAGCCAAGGTAAGTGTTTCTTTTAGAATCTTTTCAAGCCTATGTATTGTTTAGCATTCCAACTCGCATACTCGTACATTCAATGTACTGATGCCAGTTGGCCTGCATTGTCTTATAATGCAGACACAAGTAACCAGGATCAACATCCAGCACCTCGTTGATCCAGCTTGAGCACTCCGAGTCTGTGGTGAGCCACCTTGCATCCGGAGGACTCCTTTATTTGCTTTCTAGTTTAGTTCATTATGATGTTGTGGGGTTTGTCCCAACATCCCTTTCAGTTGTTTTAAAGGCTTCATAGACAGTCAGTTTATTAGTTCTTTAGTCTTCTCATTTTATCTTATGTTAAGACTTGGGTTGCCATTTTGGCCAAGTTGAATGTTTAATTCTTTTAACATTCTAAGTTATATTATTAACCTATTTGAGAAAGTTATTTTGATCATTGAAATCATGCTTAGAGTCTTCCGTTGAGTTAAGTAAGCCAGGCCAAGGTTTTGCTTGGGGCCATCAATGGTTCTCGAGTACCAATCCCACCCAGGGTGTAGGCTCGAGGAGTGACTTACTTGGTATCAGAGCCCGAAGTTCAAGAGTCCTAGGGAGTCTATGAAGTCATGTCTGTAGAGTCCTAGTTATCGGTGTGAAGCGCTCCACATCTATAATAAGGAGGCTATAACATTTAGGAAATTCCTCACTTTTTCCATACTCTTTTATCTCTAAAAATCTTTCTTCTAATTCATGCTTGCGCGTGTTTTTAGATAATCATGCTTCCACGAAGAGTTTTCAGAGGTCGTCTTGCTAGGCGTAATGTTGAGGAGCAAGAGTTACCAAATGCACCTAAGGTGCAACCTCAAGGCGAAGTTACCAATGTTGAGTTCCGTGAGGCTATCCTGATGTTGAGTCAAGTTGTGACCAACCAAGCCGGATAGCAGAGAGGAGCTCGACAAGAAGAGGTTGACTCTTCAAGAATTCGTGAGTTCTTGAGGATGAACCCTCCAAGTTTTACGGGTTCGAGCCCTACTGAGGATCCAGAGAACTTTATTGAGGAGCTGAAAAAAGTATTTGATGTGATTCATGTGGCAGATACTGAGCGAGTTGAACTAGCTGCATATCAACTGAAGAATATTGCTAGGACTTGGTTTGATCAGTGGAAAGGAGGTAGAGCTGAGGATGCACCACCTGCGAGTTGGGCATGTTTTGAAGAGGTTTTCTTGGGGAGCTTCTTTCCTCGAAAACTGAAAGAGGCCAAGGTACGTGAGTTCCTCACACTTAAGCAGGATACTCTAAGTGTTCGTGAATATGGGTTGAAGTTCACCCAACTATCCTGTTATGCTCCGAAGATGGTTAAGGACATGAGGAGTAGAATGAACTTGTTTGTTGCTGGGTCACCTCGTTTGTCGAGTAAGGAAAGAAGGGTTGCAATGCTTATCAGGGACATGGACATATCAAGGTTGATGCTTTATGAGCAACAGGTTAAGGAAGAGGAGCTGAGGGACAGGGAAGAGTTCAGAAATAAGAAAGTTAAGACAGGAAATGAGTCCGGGCATCATATAGGTAATGTGAACCGTTCGTCCTTTCAACAAAGATAAAAGGGACCTGATCCATCATCTGCTAGTGCACCAGCACCCAGAAACAGAGTCGAGTATAATGGTCAGAATTCGCAGAACTTCAGAGCTAGACCTGCACAGTCTCAGGGTAATGTGGCACAAGGAGGTAATTGGGCTCCTTTATGTGCTAAGTGTGGTAGAACCCACCCAGGTAAGTGTCATGAGGGCCAGACAGGTTGCTTCAAGTGTGGACAAGAGGGTCACTTCTTGAAAGAGTGTCCAAAGAACAGGCGAGGTAGTGGAAATTCGAGCAATAGGGCCCAATCTTCATCAGTTGCTGCCCCAGATAGAGCTGCACCTAGAGGAGCTACTTCAGGTACTGGCGGAAGAACAAACCGTCTTTATGCAATCACCCGTCATCAAGAGCAAGAGAACTCTCCAGTTGTTGTTACTGGTATGATCAAAGTCTTTACTTTTGATGTTTATGCTTTGCTAGACCCAGGAGCAAGTTTATCTTTTGTAACCTCTTATGTTGCAAATAAGTTTGAAGTTATTCCTGATAAACTTTGTGAACCCTTCTGTGTTTCTACACCTGTTGGGGAGTCTATTCTAGCTAAGCGAGTTTATCGTGATTGTGTCATTTCCATCAATCGCAAAGACACCATTGTTGATTTAGTTTAGTTAGACATGGTGGATTTCAATGTCATTCTAGGTATGGATTGGTTTCATGCCTGTTATATATCAATAGATTGTAGAACTCAAGTTGTCAAGTTTCAGATTCCTAATGAGCCAGTCATAGAGTGGAGTAGTATTTCAGCAGTGCCTAAGGGTCATTTCATTTCGTACCTTAAGGCGAGAAATTTAGTTTCGAAGGGTTGTATCTATCACTTAATCCAAATTAATGACTCAAGTGTTGAGGTACCTCCCATTCAGTCAGTTCTTATAGTAAAAGAGTTTCCAGAAGTCTTCCCTGATGATCTACCTGGAGTCCCTTCTAAGAGAGAAATAGACTTTGGCATAGACATCATTCCAGATACTCATCCTATCTATATTCCGCCATACAGAATGGCACCAGCAGAGTTGAAAGAGTTGAAAGAGCAGTTAAAGGATCTATTAGATAAGGGATTCATTCGACCAAGTGTCTCACCTTGGGGCGCTTGGTCTTGTTTGTGAGAAAGAAAGATGATTCCCTTAGGATGTGTACAGATTACCGCCAATTGAACAAGGTTACCATCAAGAATAAGTATCCTCTTCCGAGGATTGATGATCTTTTCGATCAGCTTTAGGGTGCTTCCTATTTCTCAAAAATTAACCTCAGATTAGGTTACCATCAATTGAAATCCAAAGACAGCATTCAGGACCCGTTATGGTCATTATGAGTTTTTAGTCGTGTCGTTCGGTTTAACTAATGTACCAGCAGCGTTCATGGACCTTATGAATAGAGTCTTCAAACCTTATTTAGATATGTTTGTTATCATCTTCATTGATGACATACTAATCTATTCAAGGAATGAAGAGGATCATGCTAGCCATCTCAGAATAGTTCTTCAGACTTTGAAAGATAAGGAGTCGTATGCCAAGTTCTCTAAGTGTGAGTTTTGGCTTGAGTCTGTGGCATTCTTGGGCCACATATTTTCTGGTGATGGAATTAAAGTTGATACTCAGAAAATTGAGGCAGTGCAGAATTGGCCTAGGCCCACATCTCCAACTGATATTAGGAGTTTCTTGGGTTTAGCTTGCTATTATAGAAGGTTTGTAGAGGGGTTCTCATCTATTTCGTCCCCTTTGACCAAGTTGACTCAGAAGACGGTTAAATTTCAATGGTTTGAAGCTTCTGAGAAAAGCTTTCAGGAATGGAAGAAGAGGTTGACTACTGCCACAGTTTTGACCTTACCAGAAGGTACTCAAGGTTTTGTGGTGTATTGTGATGCATCTAGAGTTGGTCTAGGTTGTGTTTTAATGTAGAATGGCAAAGTTATAGCTTATGCCTCTAAACAGTTGAAAGTTCATGAGAAGAATTATCCAAACCATGATCTAGAGTTGGTTGCTGTAGTTTTTGCTTTGAAGATATGGCGCCATTATTTGTATGGTGTTCATGTGGATGTGTTCACCGATCATAAGAGCCTTCAATATGTGTTCACTCAGAAAGAGCTCAATCTCAGATAGAGAATGTGGCTAGAGTTACTCAAAGACTACGACATGAGTATTCTTTACCACCCAGGTAAGGCTAATGTTGTTGCTGATTCCTTGAGCAGGTTGTGTATGGGTAGCACCGCCCATTTTGAAGAAGGAAAGAGAGAGTTAGCAAAAGATGTGCACTAGCACGCCTGGGAGTCAGACTTATGGATTTCACAGAAGGAAGAATAGTGGTGACGAATGGGGCCGAGTCATCATTAGTGTTAGAAGTGAAAGAGAAGCAAGACCAAGACCCTATTTTGCTTGAATTGAAGGCAAATGTTCATAAGCAACAAGTATTAGCTTTAAACAAGGGGGAGATGGTGTTTTGAGATATCAAGGCAGACTGTCTGTACCTATGGTGAATGGACTCCAAGAGAGGATCATGGAGGAAGCTCATAGCTCCAGATATTCCATTTATATGGGTTCCAAATAGATGTATCGTGACTTGAGAGAGGCTTATTGGTGGAATGGCATGAAGAAGGGCATTGCTGAATTTGTCGCTAAGTGTCCAAATTGCCAATAAGTGAAAGTTGAGCACCAAAGGCCCGGTGGTTTGGCGCAGAATATAGAACTTCCAGAATGGAAGTGGGAGATTATTAATATGGACTTCATCACAGGTTTACCAAGGTCTCGCAGGCAACATGATTCTATTTGGGTGATTGTTGACAGAATGACAAAATCAGTCCATTTTCTACCGATAAAGACTACCCATTCAGCAGAAGATTATGTCAGGTTATATATTTAAGAGGTGGTAAGAATTCATGGATTCCCAGTCTCCATTATTTCAAATAGAGGTGCATAATTTACTGCACAATTCTGGAAATCTTTTCAGAAAGGCTTGGGTTCAAAGGTGAACTTAAGTACTGCCTTTCATTCTCAGATAGATGGTCAAGTAGAGCGCACTATTCAGACATTAGAAGAAATGTTGAGGACCTGTGTGATTGATTTCAAAGGGAATTGGGATGATCACCTACCTCTCATTGAGTTTGCTTACAACAACAGTTACCACACTAGCATCCGAATGGCTCCATACGAAGCTCTTTATGGGAGAAGATGCAGATCTCTTATTGGATGGTTTGAAGTTGGTGAAGTAGGGTTGATAGGAGCAGATTTAGTTCACCAAGCTATAGAGAAGGTGAAAGTGATTCAAGAGAGGTTGAAAACGGCACAGAGTCATCAAAAATCCTACACTGATGTTAGGAGAAGGCCATTAGAGTTCAAAGTAGATGATTGGGTATATTTGAAGGTTTCACCCATGAAGGGTGTTATGAGGTTTGGTAAAAAGGGGAAGCTTAGTCCCCGGTATATTGGACCTTATCGCATAGCCAAGAGGATTAGCGATGTAGTTTATGAGTTGGAGCTACCACAGGAGTTAGCAGCGGTTCATCCGATATTTCACATCTCTATGTTGAAGAAGTGCATGGGAGATCATTTATTGATCATACCAACTGAAAATATTGGGATCAAGGATAACTTATCCTATAAGGAGATCCCTGTCCAGATTCTAGATCGTCAAGTTCACAAATTGAGAACAAAAGAGGTAGCATTAGTCAAGGTCCTTTGGAGGAACCAATTTGTTGAAGAAGCTACTTGGGAAGCTGAAGAGAATATGAAGAAGAGATATCCGCATCTCTTTGAATCTGAAGAAAGTGCAGATCAAGGTACTAATTTCTTCTTAGTGCTCTTTAAATTATGAGTGAGCATGTTGTTTGTTTGCATTTACTTTTGGGGTGGTTGAACATGATGTTACCACCCTTAGCCTATTAAGGGTAATCTCATTCGAGGACGAATGTTTCCAAGGGGGAGATAATGTAACATCTCGAAATTTGAAATAACTAGAAAAGAAGTGTAAAATCTGGAAATAGTCATTTTTGGAAAGTGTAAGGAAATCTGGAAATTTTTTAAAGTAAGTTAAAGTGAGTTTTTGGTCAACTTCAAACGATCATAACTCCTAGCTCCCGATGATTTAGGTGTAGTTCCAGATATGGTTGGAAATCCCTTGGAATGATCTTTCCAACGCCGCTGAGTTTGCGTAATTTCGTTATCATATGAGTAAGTTATGCCTTTCGGAAGTTGGGCTGTTGGATTAGTAAATGTCCAATCCGGATTTTTGAAGGGTAGTTTGGTCTTTTCTGTACCCAATTTATTTAAATCCTTTTTAGTAAATTAAGTGGGGTCAAACCTGAGTTAGTTAAGTTTACGTTTTTGAGAAATATACTTAGGGCTTTTGGAGAAAGAACGCAAGAGAAAGGAGAAGAGGAAAAGCAAGATTCGCCAAGAACGAGCAATTTTGGTTATGGATTCGCCAAAGAATTGATCCTACGAGGTATGTGATTCTCTCATAGTGTTGGGTTCATTCACCCACGCGCCAAGCATGTTTAATTTAGTGAGATTCGTCCTAGAAGAGTTGGAAAATTGATGTTCTTGACAAATATTCTTGAATTCGAATGTTGTTAGCGAATTAAAACGAATTGAGAAGTTTATGAGATCCTTACTTTGAGTTTAGGTTTGCTTTGAGTTAGGTGGTTTGAGGCTGAAAAAACGAAGAAGGAAAAATCGAGTAAGGTTCATGAAACAAGTCCGCGTCGCGGACTTGTTCCCCCAGTGAACAAAAATCTGCTCTGCATCGCTGAGAGGACGCGGACTCCACTGTCTCAAAATTTAATTTCACAAATAATTATTTAGGAACACCTCCGCGTCACGGACTTGTTCCAAGACGGTGATTTCGTAACTTTTCTCAAGTTTAGCTATTCGAAATCATTCCTAAACATCAAGAGACCTTTCCTATCACAAATCACAATCCTTGAATCCATAATTCAAATCAAGTAAAGTTAAGAGTCAATTCAAGTAAAGTTAAGAGTCAAGTCAAGTGAAGTCGTCAAAGTTTTCAACGGTCTTTTACAAATGTTTTAACTTTGTTTTAAGACTTAAGTTTCAAGTTAAGCAAAGAGTAAAGAGTTGAGCTCATTTCTCAAAAAGCTATTAGGGAACTAAGTATTCCCAAAGAGTTTATAAATGTTTTCACATTTGAACAAGAAAAGGGAACATCAATTCCAAGAAGAGCTTTTAAGCTAAGTTTTGAGTAATTATCTCAAACCAAAGAAAAAAGTTGTTTTAAAACATATGAGCTAAGTATATTTTGGGAGTAGTATTGAGCACCGATATGGGGATGCGAGTTCATATTAACTCAAGTCTCCATAAACCATGTAGCCATCATGGGTTTTAATGGGTCATACTTTTTAGATGATCACATAAGTTAAGCTAGTGGATCCACTAAGTTAAGCGTTCTATATGATGGCAAAGTATAGGATAGTTTTGGCAGCGTGGGCCAGACGTTGTATCACCACTTAGGCTCATTGTTGTCACACCCCGAGCTACCCCCGAGATGCGGACACGGGACCTAGGACCACAAGTGATCCCAAGCTAACCCTGCTGGCATGATCATGAGCATACTAAAGATAATAAACTGATACGAAAGCTAATTCATAAATAAATCTGAAAAGATGGGGAATACTCATATACTATAACTGAATATATCAAATCTTAGAGTTTAATACAAAAGAAATATCAAACTCAAAATACTAAGCTGAATCTAACTATGTCTGAATTAAGCCTCTAAACTGACTAGAAATGTTGGGACATGCCCCAACTAGATCTAGCAAAACTGAAACTAAAGACAAAGCGATAAAGATAAACATGTCACTAGTCCTCGAAGAATGAGGACTCACCACTGATGCTGCTGAACTGAAGATCGGGAATCGATCTAAGCGTGATATGGATGCTGAGAACCTGAACCTACATCACGAGAAGATGTAGCGCACGTATGCGTCAGTACTTGAAAGGTACTGAGCATGCAGGATAGAGTAAAGCTGAAATAACACATAACTGAACAAGGCATACTGAGCAATGATATAATCTGAACATGATATAGATACTGAAAATA